GGGGGGGGAGGAGAGAGGGGAGCACAGTGGAAAGGTGTTGGTTGGGTATGTACAAATGTTAGTGGATTGGTAGCTGCGTGGTTGCCATCATTAGGGATGGTGGGCCATAGCTGCAATGCGGGTGTGCATCCAATGGGTTGCTGGAGGGTGGAGGAGTGAGGTGGCAACGAGGGTGAGGTGGTGAGGTGGTAAGGGAGGATTGTCGAGGGGTTGGGGAGATTGTACGGTACTATATGCAGCGGACTGTGTACTATCGTGAAATCCCTCCGCCTAACCTCGCATCCAATGAGGACTCGAGGCGGCCTGGCGAGCGGCCAGGTAGGCTTCGACTAGACACAACGTCATAGAGGGGAATGAGAAAAGGCAGGTATTACTGTAGATATAGCCTTTATAGATACAGGTGTATACTTTCCGCCTACGTGACACTACTGTCTATCTTCATTTCCCTCCATGTCAGACAGTCTCCGACCATTTTAACCCTTCCTCCTTTTTTTTTTTCCTTTTGCTTTTAATATTGCCAATAAAATTTGGGAAATGGAGCGTAAAAACGTCAGAGAACTCGAGCTGTTGATAAAAAAAAATGTTTGGTGAGCCTCGGGGCGTTATTATTACTGAAATATTCGGAGTTGAACCGAATTATCCTTTCCAATTTCAATTTTTCGTCTCGGTACATTGTATCGGTAAAAAGTGGACTATTTATTCCTCTTGAGAACGAGGAATAGAGGTTATAACTCCGCGTTTATTCAAATGATGCTTTAGGAAGGAGTTCCTCCACGGGAATAGGAATAAGGTGGTGGGTGAGATGGGAGGGGGAGGGTAGACGGGGTATATAAGTAATCCGAGGGTTGGATCTTGCGATAGAAAAGTAGATGAGGGGGGTTGGAAAAGTGGCCTGGAGGTACACAGTGAGGATCTTGAGGGTGCCAACGGTTGAAGGAGAATGCTACGAGACCATTCGTTTCAATGAACGGCCCTACGGAATGGAAGGCATTCTGTCTGCTCCCCCTCCCCCCCTCTCTCTCTCTCTCTCATTTTTTTTCCCTCATCCACCTCTTTGATATCCTCACAGGATTCAATCTAACCTATATAGAACTTTATGCGAGTCTCCTCTTCTGAATAGAAAAACACTCGAGCGGACGCCTGATTCTTTCGTCTACTCGAAGCGGCTTGACGTTTTTTTCCATCATTCCCCTTTTTTTGGCTTTCTTTTTTTTTTATTCTTCGTCTTACCCCTAGCATCTTGAAGAAACTTGGAAGGATCTCATTTGAATGAAAAATCCACGGGCTCTTACTCGCCTCGTGCACTTTACCAATATGTTTCGATGCCATAAGATAGGCGGTGGGGGAGGGGGAAATATTCGCCATTTTTTTTTTTCTTGCGGGTGCAGGGGGATCCCAGCGTGTGGCGAGAGGTGGGTTGTGGTGGTGTACGTGGGGTGGGACATGGGGGAGCGGAACGAAGTGAAAAGGAAGGAAGGAAGGAAATCAGGTCTAAAGTAACCTCGAATTTGCTTCGGTGGGCAATCTTGAGATCCCTTATGGATTTCCCGCTCGAGCGTGATACTGTGAGGAGTTGTTGGCTTGGAAAACATCTTTTTCACGTTTTTTTTTTCTCCTTATTTATTTTTTTTTTTTCGGTTACTTTTTGTCTCTTTTCCAAAGGTGTTTGAAGTACGAGCCAGTTCCTGAAAGCATAAATTTTTCTCCTCCAGCCGTTTCTGCTGGGCATTAAAAACGAGAAGAAATAGCATAAATTTGCATAGACTTGGACAATAATTTTCACATCTTCTCTTTGGAATTAATGAATTTCTTTTGCACAACGGCTGTTTTTCCACTCAATTTTGCCATTGCACATCCCCTCTAGTGTCATGGGGATCAGGACAGCGTGTAACACGATCGGGCTTATCTCGATATAATCGCACAGGTACTCGCATACGCGCCAGTGAACTCGAAATGCCCTCAACCCCTTCCCACAACCCCTGCACCACCACCCCCCTTCACCACCCTCGCCACCCATCCCCTATTTTCTGTCGCGTGTCGTGTCGTTCACGTTAATAAAATAATTACTCCCCTTCGGTAATTTATAAAGCGTGTGCACATAGGTGAAAGAGGATATAGGGTGGTAAAGGGGGTGGTGGAGGGAGGAGGGGTGGTGAACAGGGGATTGAGCGTTGCAGTATGCACCGCCGGGTAATTTTGACTCGGTTCGATTGTCGTGAAAATCCCGGAAGCGAGTTTGGAGCGTCCGAAATAAAAAAAAAAAATGAAGAAAAAAAAAAAATTCAACGAGCTATCAGTCGCACTGGGAGCCAGGGCAACCGTCCAAAAAACATTCTCATTCCAGCCCCCTCAATCCTCCTTGTGTCCTCTGAGGGAAGTAACGTGGGTGGGCCAGGGGGATGATCAGAATGGTGAAAATAAGTCGCGGGCGCGCGTCGCGCAATTAAGGAAACGACTGTCGTAAATTCTGTTTTAAAAGTGTTGGGGTGGGAGGGAGGTAGGGGAAGCCGGGGAGGGTACGTTCGCTCACAATGAAATTGCTTCCATCAATTTACGAGAAACGAGAGTAGCTGAGACTAATTGAAGAGATGTCGATAGTTTTAAGGAGGTGATGGAAAATTGGGAAATTGCATGAGTTTTTCTTGTCGGTGATTGAGGAAAGAGAATAAATATTTATCACTAAAATACAATATCCGAGTTGATATCCGGTGGTATATGAATTTGAAATAATCATTGATAACCTCTCGATATAAATCCGGGGTAATTCAGCAATTTTGGTAAAACGATATCATCCAGTTGGAGATGCATCGTAAAGTTGAATCCATCTGGATAGTAATGGCGGTGGATATCAGAGATATCCTTTTTGGTTTATCGATGCAAGCCGAATAGAGAGAATGAGCGTTGGATATATAACAAGGGAGTAACTATTGTGCATTACGAGGTCCTCAGAGAGGACAAGAGCGAAGTGGTGGATAGGAGGTGGGAGGAGGGAAGATGGTAGAGAAGAGGGTAGAGAAGAGGGATGGAGAACGCCTGGATAAAGCGGCGTATAATTAGATAGGGTGCAAGATATATTTGGAGCTTGGCCATGTTGGCTGGACGCCAGACTTGAGTCTTGCATCTCCCTTCTTCTTTCGTCTGATACGAGGGCTTGATACTGTGATCCACGTGTATGTATATTAAACCTTCATGAATGTACCGCCTTTTTGGCATAAGAGGGGGCGTAAAGTTACACAAACGACACAAGACGAGAGTTTTAGAAGAGGTTAGGTGAGATTGGATGAGCTTTATAGGTTAGAATAGCCATGTCGTATTTTTTTTCACATATTCCAGTGTTAGTGATGTGATATTGCCACTGTCTGCCAATGTTTAACGATATACTGTCCGAGAGAATCAATAAAAACCAATTGGCATTTACTATTTAGTCGTCGATACATTTTTACGGTGAAATTTTGCGGTAAAATTTCAAGCCATTCACACATTTACTATTTATACCACCACAATGGGCCATTTCAACCGAAAATTGCACGCTTCCACGATCCCCAAATCACATCATTCAATCACTTAAGCCCGAATAATAGCGATACTTCCCCAGCGCAAAGTATTTTCAATTTCCATTCATGTCTCCCCTCCCCTCCCGCCCACCCCTCCCCTCAACCCCCTCAAACCGTGCCACCGAAAATCGCGTGCAATTTACCCAATCAAAATCCCAAAGAGAAGATGGACTTGATCAGAGTACCCCCTCCGGTATATCCCCAGATCTCTTGAAAAATCAAACTTTTAATTTGGTTTCAAGCTCCAACCGTCCCCCCATCCCTCCTAACCCCACCCAACACCACCCCCTCTCACCAAGCTGGCAATTATGAAAGTTCCAAGGTAATTGGTTGAGTGTGGTACCGATTGGCTCCATGGATGTAACGTCGCTACTGGGATATAGTGACTAAATGTTTGCGTGCCCTCTCAGCCTAATGTTGGCACAAGTGCCCTCCCCTTAATCCCCCCCTCCTGGTGATTCCACCCCTTCAAAACAACTCACGGACAAATGGATGAAAATGTCGTGACATTTTTTCACAGTTCGTCGAAAGAACAAATTAATTGACGACACGAGAGGCAGAAAGGGACCGAGTTGGGTAGTTGAGTGGAGTGGGGGTGGGAGGGGGCGGAGGGGAAGGGTTTTCTAACGACTTTCGAGTTTGATTCAACGATAAATCTCGAATCTCGTTTCGTGGGCTTTACGGCCACGGGAAAAGGAAGCGTCCCGCGTCGGCGAGTTACGTCGAAGAGGTAAAAGTTGTGAGTTAATCTATTTTCTCGTAAAGCAACTTTAACCCCTCCACTCTTGCTCGCAACCCCTTGGTGGCGTTCTTCAACTTTATTTTCTTGGCACCGCGGATATGCGCTTTCTTACACGGGGATAAATTATTTGGGAAATTATCGACAGATATGACTCTTCTTGGTTATTTAATTTATTGTTACATTTTTTTTTTTCAGAGAGCCTCAGAGAATACTTCACCAAGTACGGAGATATCACGGAGGTTATGGTGATGAAGGATCCGACAACGCGACGATCAAGGTAGGATGACTTTTTATTCGTGTGCATGATAAATCATTTCTTCGGGTCAACGGGTGGGGAATTATTTCCAGCTTGACGTATTATTTTCTCATTAATTTGCGGATGAGTAGGGGCCGGTAAATAGGGCCTCTCGACACTGGGGTGATTGACGAGCCAAGGCCACGTCGCGTTATAAATATTACCGCGAATTTTAACGAGGGGTCTACCTCATTCACTCACCGACACCTTTTTTTTTTCATTCATCATCTGCAGTGTGCGATTTCCAGGAAAATTCCCACGGAATACAGAGGTGTCATACGGTTTTTTCCGAAGTCTAGAAAACTTTTACGCGAATAAAGTTCTCGGCATTAAAATTCGTCTTAATTAAAGGGCAATCTGGGAATTTACCTGGGAATTTTCGGGGGGAAAATTGGCAAATTTTTCCTTTGGTTTTTCACACTGTCTACAACTCGGAATTGAGAAAGTCAAAGTTTCTAGGGTAGGTCTAATCGCCTTGGCATTTCACAACCGAAAATGCTCGAATTCCGTCTGAGGTCTTCATTTATCTTTCATCTCCCTTCGCGCCCATTCTAATTAATTGAACCTTGAAAGTTTCCTCTATTTAGAGTTGAGAATCATGGAGAGATGATAATTTAAGTATTGAATGGAGAACTAAAGAGTAAATAAGTAAATTATGATGGATTGAGGAAAGCGCTGAGAGGTTGTTGAAAGTATTCTCGGGATTATCTTGATAATAATGAGGAATTGAAGGGATTTAGGGAAAGTACTGCGCCGTGTATCCAAAGTTAAACAAATAATCGAGTTATCCGGGTGAAAATTTCTGGAAATCCATCCTATGCGGGTGAAATAATTCACAAATAATCCGATTAAATAACATCTCTCGAAAATTGACCGATGAAAAAATGTGGAGTTGAATTTCGTCCAAAAATACCTGAAAATATCGGAAATTAAATTTCAATAATAAAGCTCATAATTTCAATTTCCCAACGTTCCATTTCACCGGTTAACTTTTCACTGGAAATTCCAATATTTTCCATCATTTCGCGGTGACTTTATTTGGGTCACAGACACGAGATTGGGATCTCATGATTCCTCATTAAGAGAAGCCCCAAATTCTCGTTGAGTTGCAATCTCAGACATTTTTAAGGAGCGAGATAGAAGCCACCCTCATCGACGTCTCATTTCCTGCCTCGAACTTATCAAGACAAATATCCCACGACTTGTTCTCTCCTTTTCACCGTACCATTTCTACTTTTCCGCTTTTCTTGTTGGGCCGGTTGCTGGGGCAATCGGAAAAGAACTCTAATGAACAAACTATCCTAATTTCAAGAACACCACTGAAGACTTATTCTCACTGACATTTCATTTAAACTGGTGCTCACTGTTGCGATTAGAATTAAAATCCATGGGTGTATCTCGTGGGTTTCATTCCTGCATTCAATTATCAAATGCAGAATCCTATCTAAAAGGGAGATCGACGTTTATATCGAATCGAATCGAAACTCTCGATAGCTGACGCCTAAAATCATGTACACGAAATTTGGGGGCACATACATATCCGGGTAAAAAAAATGTAATCGGAATATTTTTTCCAAATTTTCAAAAAATATCTGGGAAATTTTTCACATTTTTTTTTTATGAAATTGAATTTTTTGAGAATATTGAAAAATAAAAAAAGTTAGAAAACAACAGTATAATTGAAAGAAAAAATTATATTCGCAAAAATTTCTAGAAAATTATTTTAAAAAATTTCCGAAACAAATTTTTGAAAAATTTTTCAAAACCGTTCCCAAAAATACAATTGTTTTGTGATTTTTTTTTTGTTTGAAAATAAAAATTTTCTGAGAAGATTTCCAAAAATTTTTTGAAAATTTGGAAAAACTATTCTGATTACAATTTTTTTTTTACCTGGATAGCGTCATCTATCCGAATTAACTTGAAGATTATCTCAAAATTTGTAATGCCTAAAAATTTCAATTGAATCTATTCTGTTGAAAAATTCTGAGGTGTTTGTGCGAAATTCCATGACTAATTGTTCACCAGTATAATCTAAAAAATTGATAAAACAGAATCCAGCGTTTTCTATAATGTTACAAGCCCCTGAATTTTTATTTTCAAATTGAAAAATGACTTGTACCCAGCATCATTGCAATGCCGCATAACCCAGAACAATAAAAGCGTCCAATGTTTTTTTATCACTGGCATTAGAACCGAACAATATAAACCGCTGAAATTGTCATTCCCGTGATACAATCCAGAGCCCCCCACTGCCACCCCCAATTCCCTCCACCGACAACCCCATAACCCAACACCACCACCAACATAACCCATACCCATGTGCCCTCACTGTGCGTTACACCGAGTAAAAAATACACGAGAGATGCGGTGACAACACCCGACGGACGCGGCAAAGACTTTACGGTGTCGTATCTCACTCACGTTCTGGGCGTGTACGTACCGTGTAATGTTAGCATTACAGGTCGGTGTCGTAAAAGACTCTGTTGAGAGTTAAAAATATATATACGTATAGGTGAGACAAACAAAAAATGGATGAGGGGTGGAATAAGGAGTTTGAAGGTATAAGGGGGACAGACAGAGAGAGAGAGAGAGAGAGAGAAAAAAAAAAAAGGTATTCTCCCCATAAAATCTCGTGTATATGGTGCAGTGTTTGGTGCGTGTTTTAGTTACTGACGCCTGGCACGTTCATTGAGTTGATTCCTCCCGTCGGTTAGCAGTTGGTGGGGGCGGAATGTGAGATATATGGGGGCCATGAAACGTTTAAGATGATGCCGTTGAATCGTTATTATGAGGTTGCGAGAATGAGAGTTTTATCTACCGCGATGTTTGAAATATTTTTTATAAATATTCCCCAGTGCAATTGATAAAAAATGACTCTTACAGGGGATGGGTGTATTGCCATCGGGTGCGTGGCGTTGAAGGTGTAGTTAATCGAAGAATAAATAAGGGGACACCCCGGGGGTACACAGATAGCACCAAACATCCCCCTCTTGCGTAACAACCCGACCCCCCTTTGCTCTCACCCCCGCAAACCACCTATTTCATAGCGTTTTACTACCCCTCAGTTGAGTGAGGGGTTGGGTGGGGTGTAAGGGGGTGGGAGGGGGAGGGCTGAGGGGGTTGGGATTAATGTGAGTTCTCGCACGAGGACACCTGCTGTGCCCTACGGGAATTAACGCGGCAATCGCGTGATCCTTGTGTACGAGTGAAATAGAGAAGGGGGTTGATGGTCTATGTGGGACGTTTCCGTGATTCCTCGATTATCTCGATGGAAATTCACATTTTTACCATTCATTCAATTATAAAATTTATATATTCTATATTTTTCCCCGCGTAGTGTTCCCCCTGCATTCACCCTGGGCTGTTTATTTTTTTAATTCATCATTTCTACTCTCATTTCATCTCTCTCTCTCTCTCTCGTTCTCTCTCGTGCTAATTGTGTCGTTTTTTAGTTTTTATTTGAGGGTGAAAATGGGAGAATAGACGGTGGGATAAAGGCAAATGGTGAGTGTATGTAAACCGTGAAGGCTCAGCCCCTTCTCTACCTATCGGACGAACTGATAAATTACTTTACCACCCTCTCTGGCATTTTCCGACTTACACACACCCCGACATCTTCTATTCTCCCTTCAGTCTCATGTACTTGTGTTAGAGCATCGCTATCAGACACGTGAGACGATTTAAACCGGTAGGGGAATGTGTTATCTTGCGGGGATAATGAAATAGGATATTTCTGGATTTTCCATTGTTTGAGGTGAGTCCTGTGGAAATAGTCTCGTGAAAATTTTCAGCCTATACCGTGTGAATATATTCAGACTGCTCCTCGTGTCATTCGCAAGAGGCGGTTAAAGGAAAAATAAATGATCCACTGGGTCTATTTAAACTGTACAAGTGCGTAACAGCATAAAAACTTAACACGTAACACCTGTGACCGCGATACGTCAGTATCAACCACATCGTTTTCAAAATATAGTATTTTTCCTCCCCACTCTTAAATCAAATGTATTTATACATTTTTCCCCCTCTAAAACCTCAACGAGGTACTAAAATTACTGTTCATCAGACGAAACTGAAATTACGTAGACACACGAGACGTTGGACTTAAATTGTTACGGATATTATTCCACCAATCGTATCCCTTTTTTTTTTTAATTAACATAGTTTTTTTTATTTAATAATACATCGATATTTACATCTTATGTCATAAAAAACTAGTCATAAAAAAATTTGCAGTTATATACAGGGCTACCTTAATTTAATAATGGCCTTTTTAGACACTCGCATTAATACAATATTTTACAGCAATCTGTATGTAAAAATATTTTTTAGCATTATTTTACAGGTGAGATAGACGCATTTCAGCGAATCATTATTGATGTGAGCGGGTCCAAGAAAAAATAAAAGAATTATTGGAGTTTAATGAAAAAAAAAGGGAAACCAATCGTATCCCTCAATTGGTCCTCGTCACTATGACGACAGACATTGTTATTTTTACCCAAAAATTTACAAATACCACGATAATTAAATAATTCAAATCTGTCTTTTATCTGTTTTTGTGGTATGAGCGATGATATACATAAATGCACACTCGACGATGTACATTTTGTATCATTGAGTAAATCATGGCTTGTACCCGAGGCGTATTTGTGACGTGACGCTTGTTTTGAGTTTAATGGACATGAAATTGAGTGTTATGTTTTCGTGACAAAATGTATGAAGAGTTTTTCACTGTATATTTACTATTTTTAAATGCATGACCGTCATGTATTTATTTTACGGAGTGATAATGCAGTGAAAACATGATAGAGGTCATAAAATTTGGACAATCAAATACAGTAGAATCTCATTGTAGTCGCACCTCTCCTCCATTTATTTTTTCACGTCTCTATTATATACCCCTGGGCTACAAGATGTAAACAATAAATTGTTTCATCCACTGAGGAAAAATTAATTTCTCTCGTATTTCGATAAAAAATTGAAAC